TGAGAAGAGGGGGGATTTCGGTGGCTTGACAATTGTCTCGCTTCGTACCCGCGGTACTCGAAATTGATGCCGAGGGTGGTTTTTTGGAAAAATTAAATTTTTGTAAAAATATATATTTTTTTTGATTTAAAAAAAATATTTTATTAGGGGATGAAAAAAATTTTTTTTCAACCGCCCAATCATCTTTATTATTATTATAAGCGTCTCGGTGCTTTTTGTCTCTTATTTAATTTACTACCTACGGAAGTCACTATCACCTGGATACTCGCTGCTTCGATGTATAAATTTACATACCGTTACGATCGACTAATGTTATGCAATGGGGTAAAAATTAAGCAGCGAGTTTCGAGGCGGCCTGTAAATTGGAGTGTAGCTCGTTAATGCGTCCAAACAGATACTGACAGCGTTACACGGGCCGTTGACGAGGGTTGCATCGAAATAACCAGTTGCACGTGTTTTTCAAAATAAAACACTTTATACGGTTTCAGGTAAACACAAAGCCGATACGATTGACGCCGTTATGCGATGGGCGTAGAAAAATTAGACATTTTTTTTTTTTCCATCATTTCATCCTCTCGTCTTTTCACGTGTATCCCACAGCTGTGCTTCTGGCGTCGTGACGTCACCCGTCACGCAATCTCGCCGCGTCGACTAGATTTCATCGAATTCATCGAAAAGCGATTTAATTACATTTCACTTGACACTTACCAATATTTATACGGGCACAAGTGGAGGTTACTGTATATTTCATCTATGCGTCGTTAAAAAGACGTCGACTTAAGAAAAGTGTAATTTCATTATAGATCGTCATCAGACATTTTCTCCAGGGTTACATCAAGGGCGGCCATTTCTGATTTTATCATACCCATAATAATTCCATCTCGGTCTCCCGTTTTATCTTGAACTCGTAAAAACCTTCGTTTCTCTCAATTTTTCGTCAAGATCTATATCACCCGGACCGTTCGATCCATAGATCCGTCGAGGACTCGTCCTTCTTTATTGATTAACCATCATTTTGATACCACAGTCATATATACATATATATATATGTATATATATCTCACGCAAGCATCATCGGCAGATACAATATAGTGTAAACGAAAATTAAAATTGACCTTTCTTACATATGAAAGAAGTTAAAAAAAAAAAAGAAAATAAAATTTTTTTTTACGTCACGGATTTTTGTTTCATTTAGAACAAAATATATATACATAATATATACGTATATCATTGTCGTACAGCTTGACAGTCCCTGGCGTTCCGACAGAGGGCGCAGAGATAATGAGAAACGATGACTTGAATCCTATATGGGTAGGGAGGAGCGGAGGGGGGGGGGTGCGTTATCAATGGCCCGTTGATCCAGGATTTCTCGTATAGGGGTAAGCGGGCTAAGCGCGGCAAAGGATTTCGCGAGTGAATATCCAATATACATGAGAAGAGGGTTGAAC